AACAACTTATTAAAGCTTCACTTGCTGTCGACAATGTATCGATACTAGGCCGCCTGCGAGTTATCTCTCTATATATATCTCTCTCTCTCTCTCTCTCTCTCTCTCTGTTGAAACCACAGTTACGCATGTTGCATCCACTATTGTCTTAGCTTGCAGGCCAAGCTCGATGAGTGATCGAACTGCGAGGACACGCCAACATTTTGCCTCGCCATAATGGAGAGCCAATTAGCTCAAAATCAAGCTGTAACTGCGTACATAGTTGTACCCAAATACTGTCACATTTCGATTGAAAGCCAGTGATTGAATAGGCTGCTTCACAAGTCTTCCTCTCCCTTTGACGTGCAACTATTAGGATACAAGACGACTGAATGACGACGAACGAACCTATGCATATATATATATATATAACATACATATGTATAGAGCTAGCTATAACTTGACGCATCAAGGAAGTCCGATTTCGCGGCTTTACTTCGGCTTAAACTTGAGCCGCCAATTTTCTGAATAGACAGATTGAGTTGGAGGCAGCAACGAAACATGGATCAGCGCTGAAATGGAATCAGCGTTGTCCTAATCGTTTTCCAATCAAGCTGATCAAGCCCATGCCGACAGCTCCTGGTGCTTAAACTTCGATAATGAAGCTGAGATTCGCCGGGAGCCGTGACGTGCTGCGGTCGAAGCAGTTTATCGCAAATTTATCGCCATTCACCCCGACTGCGCTCGTCTTTATGTCGCTTCTGACTCGCGTCTTCGCTTGCGGCGGAGCTATCGCTGATTTTGAGACAATCTGTTAAAATTAAACGAACTCGAAGCGATGGGCGCGCGACAAGCGCAATCGGTCCGCTATCGTCAGAGTTACGCGACTGATTTGACATTCTCGGGCTCACTTGCTCCTCACCCCCCTGCTTTGCTGTTATAGCTTGTTTTGCACAGGGCAGCCCCGCTGTGCGCCGCCTAGCTGCAGGGCGAACGACCTCGTTTCCGGCGCACGACACTCGGCTAATTGCAACTTTCGGACATGCAGTCGAGCGGCCTGCAGCACTGACACACATTTTCGAGCCCCAATGAACCTCAATGTTTTCAAAGCTGGAGCGATATTGCGAAGCATCAATAGTGGTTCGCGGCGGCAAGTGCAAAGAAGAAGAAATACGATTGACGAGCACTGCCAATGGCAGGTACATTGTTGGGGCAATGATGCTCACGCTGGCCTCGACTACACCAGGATGGGATCAAGTCGTAAAGTTTGAAGCGACCAAGGCCGGTTGATTTCGTGGGCAGTGGTTGAGCATTGGAGATATCCAAAGGGTGGCAGAGTGAAAATCAGAGGATTGCGGGTTCGCGGAACGAGGGCAAAAAAAGAAAAAGGGGGTCGATAGCGATAGAGAGAGAGAGAGAGAGAGAGAGCGCGTGTCCATGTTGGCGACAAGAGAGATCCTGACGAACTATTGTGGCCCGCGGCGAGGAAAGCAAGCGAACGAACGAATGATTGAATGAACGAACGCAGAGACGGGCGTAGCGCGCTTCACTGTCTCCTCGCTCTTTTGCGGATGTGATTTCACTAGAGTAAATTTCATATCTGGCATCTGCCTCTCTCATTTTGTTTGCTCTTTCTCTGCTTCTCCGACAGTTATTGAATATCAAAGTTTGGAAAAAGTCCAGTGCCATCTAAGTTCAGTGGAAAACATAACTTATGAGTTACTGCTCGACGACTACAGCTTGGCTCTAGAGAAAAAGAAAGCTTAGCAAAAGGCAGAAGTTCGCTTGAAACTTGCCGAAAGAAATCGGAGCAAAAAGAAGAGTAGCAGCAGCAACAGCAGCGGCAGCAGAAGCTCTCCGTGTTCACTCGTGAGACGCAAGTAAGGCTGCATTGGCAGCTCGCGAACGGACCAGACTGGAAGACACGAACTTTAGGCAGATGCCAAGCTGCGCGGAAGCAAGCTCAAGCGACCGGCACCATATTCTTAAACGCGTCCGCGTACAATTCGTGTACAGGCCGAACAGCATCTAATCAAATGGTTAGTCTATACCACTTCGATTGCCATCGTGATATACCGGGCTACAAAGCTTTCTAAGACTGATAAGCTGTAGCTAAAAGCTCGAGCGACGAATGCACGCTTATCGATTCTGCACACTTGAAGTACCCGTTGGATATATTGGCTCGGCTGTTCTCTGCAGACGGCTGACATTGTGACTTCAATCGCCGTCTGTTATCGCTTGCACTGCACGTGCAAAATAATCAGCTGTCAAACAACAAGAACAAATTACTCTTGTTGTTTCCTGATATTTCAATGCCGAGGTATCTGTCACGATATGCATAAGGTAAATGACGACAGATGACGATTTTGATTGCCGATCTAGATGTCAAAGACAAGAATATTTTTAATCGATAACATTGTAAATGTTGATCTTGATTAATAGTCAACAATTAAATAAAGAAATATTATCGACTCGATTTGGCGTTTAACTGATTTCAGGTAATCGATCGCAATGCGATTGAACGTGGAAACGAAAGAAGCCGTAGCCGTTCCTACGCAGAAGTAGTGAATATTTAAAGCTGCTACGCCTGAAATTCGCAGTTTGAGCGACGAGCGGCTTCTCAGTGCTGTTTAGACTCGAATGAGCGATGTCGCGTGAAAGGAAATGAGAAAAAAAGATGCGACGCGTAGCCTACCAACTGGACTCGCATCTTAATATCCCGTCAAATTACCAGATTGTCCAATCCATTGTTTTATTTGTTTCTTTGTATTCCACGTAGTTCGAGGCGCGTGCATCCTCTGCGACTCGCTTGGCATTATATTCGATGCAAGTGCGTGACTCGAATCTATAGCCAACACTCGCGAGCTGTCGGCTAGACGTCTTACCTTTCACTAAGCAATCCCAAGGCCAACTTTGACCGGCATTCGCACGAACGACGGCAATCGGAATACAAGGGAAGTATAAAGAGAGAAATTCGCACAGCAAGCTCAATGGGCGTCTGCGAGGATTAGTTGGATGTAGTCAACTCCTTTAAACGCGTCGATATTTAGTTATTTTCGCGTGCTCAGGTGCATAATCGGAAATGCACGTAGTCAGCGAATCCAAAGAGTTAAAAGAGAAAGATGCCGGCATGAAGGTGAGTAGGATGAAAAACAAGAATAGGAGGAATGTCAGCGAATACAAATGAAAAGTTTGTCGAAGAAAGGTGGTTCTTTGGTAATCGTGATGCGGGCAGTGTTTGAGTTTTGGCGGCAGGGGTATCGGAACTTTTGGCAAAAAAGAACGGGGAAAAGGCGATAAAGTCTCGTAGACAAACTGCATCAGCGAGCACAGAACTGCAGTAACTCGAGCGCTTTTCCGAAGTTGCGCGGACAATTAGCATGCGCGAACGTGCGCAGTGCAATTACTATAGTCAACAGATCGAAGAGCCCAGCTAGTCGCACGTCAGCGGGCTACGAGCGAGCGGCCAGTTGAGCACAACGCGCGGGCAGCAGTGTACCGTTCGGGCTGGCCGTCTCGCAGCCGCGGAGGCAAGTTCGCCCGCCCAAGACCCAAGATACAATTGCGACACGCTCGACGCCTTCGACGCGGTATCGCTTGCAACTCGGCGTCGTTCTCTTCATCCAAGGTCAGCAAGCGAAACGAGGCTGAAGCAGCAGCGCAACTCGCAATTGCACGGGCTCTTCGCGACAATGCGCTCGCACGCACATCCGAGTGCGTAGCGCGTAGACGCCCGTTTGCTGGTCTCGCGATAACGGAGCGCGCTCGAGCTGTCGAAAATGCATCGCTCCTGCGGCACTCGAGCTTGGGCGATGGCTTTGCTCCGCACTTTTCTTCGCTGAATCAGCCAGACAATAAACGTCGATTCTGCTGTCGCTCGGTGCAACGATCATTGGCATCGCGCCGTGCGATCGAGCGTCGTCGACGCCGCGAAAATCCATCATCCGGCTTCTCTCGAGAAGCAAAATGCGTTTACGGCGAACCGCTCGAAGCTCGGCTTACTGCAGCGGAGAGCCGGGGAGCGTGCGCGTAATGCTCTCAAGAAGTGGGGGCAAACAAAACTCCTTTATGAAAAATGATTCTCGCAGTCCGCTCGGCGCTCTCCTTTCCGAGCGAGACGTCCGAACGTTGTGAAAGAGCTGTTTTGTGGCACTTGCGGCGGACCGTCTTATTTACAAGTTACTCGCTGTCCGGATTCTTGCCAAATGGCCGACTGAATGTATCTTGGTATTGTAGCTCGCCATTGAATTTTCAGCGATTCCTCGCGAGCCCGCGCACAGCTCAAACGCGCGATTTGCTCCGCTCGAAAACGATAGCCATCAAGAGATCAGCCTCTCGATGGAGAGTGTCAGGACTGACCGAGTCTTTAGCTCGCAGGGTTTGGGCTATCGTAATTCGATGACAGGTTCGGTAGAAAATCGGTCGGACAACCAGGAGCAACGATCGATGCACACTTGCGTGCTCGCACGACAACGCGAGCTTGGAAATTCGGCTGGCAGCCTTCGCTCCCCTATCATCGATCTGGTCTTTCAGCCGCCTCACTTCCGCCGCTCGTCCGGGTATCTCCGCTGCCCTGCTACACAGCGCTCGCTTGTTTATCCTGATATCACGCGCGTCGAGTCAAATCGTGCGAGCATCATTTCGCGCCGCCGACTTTTTCCAGATGCGAGCGCCCTGTAAATCACTACCAGACTGCCCATCAAAGAGACTGCAGTCGGTTCCGAGAACGAGTAGTTCGAGAGCCTTCTCGGCCACAAAGCGAGAGTGCGCGTACCTAGCGCCCGGGCGACTAGACTGGGCTCGCGTCGCTCGGGCCCGCCTCGGCTTGGCGACACCTCGGCAACCGAGATCGGAGGCCAACGCGACATTGACGTGGGGCGAGCGCGTCCCGAGGAGAGCCGCGCCGGCGTCGGCTACGCGAGCGAGCTTCCCGCGGGCCGCCGCGGACGCATGCGCGCACCGACGCGCCCGGACCGCCGGCGGCTTGGCACTCGCGGAGCCGGCGCTGGCCAGTCCGTCGCCGACCGGCCGCCCGTGCGCAGCGCCAGCGAGCCGCCGTGCAGCGCGAGCCACCCGCGTCCGCGAGCAATGCAACTTGTTGCTGCGAGCCGCTCGCGCGAGTTGCTCGCGCGCGGCCGCTGACTCGGCCGGACGCCCGGTGGGCAGCCCCGCGCGGATCCACGCCGGCCGTCATGCGCCTCCTGCGAGGCGCGACGAGCCGCCGCCTGCGCCCGGCCCTGCTCGCTCTTCTGGTCCTCGCGCTCACGGGTAAGCCTGCACTTTTGACGCGCGCGCGCGGTTTCCGCGGCTCCTCGACGGAGCGTTCTGTCCGTCTCCCAGGCTGTTGGCAGTTGCATCGCTCGAGCCACAGGATTGCTAAGCTGCGATCTCGCGCTTCGACCGTCGACCGTCGCACTGCGGTGAAATATCAATCGCGCCTCGTTCGCCGGGACGCTGTCGTCAGCGTGCTGGCAGGTGCTAGCAGCGCTCGCGCCGCCAATTGCCGACGCAATGCACTCTTGCATCCGACGTCGATCGGTGCTCTTCCGGCGCGACCTATGACGCACCGGGCGATACGGAGATCCACTAGGAGTGCACCTTCTTGGTCCGCGCGACGCGCGACGCGCTCTTCCATCGTTCGCGCGTCGGTGCTCCCGGATAAACGATGACTGACCAGCGACACGCTCGCCGCTCCCAAAGTTCTCGCGCTGACGCTGCCGCCAAACGATGCATCAGTAATTGGCAAGCAAGTTCTTGGCGAACTAGTACTTGTTTGGTGCTTCGGACAAGTCTTGTGCCGCTGGATAGTCCAACGTGTTGTCGTGACGCGAATCAATGGTGCCTCCGCTACGCTGCTGCTGTTGGTCTCGACGACGGGAATGTCAGGATAATCCAGTCGATCCAGTCGGAGGATGAAGCTGCAGCGTGGCGGAGGCACAAGACCCGCTGAGAACGACGGTTGTCCATCGAAATCGAATGGACGGTGTGCTTGTCCCTGCGAGCAGGTGGGAGCTGCTTGAGGAACGTCAGGCTGCAGCTGATACCGGAGAAGGTGGAGCGCGGTCAGGAAGTGAGGCTGCTGTGCCACTACGAGCTCGAGGAGGCCCCCCTCTACTCGCTCAAGTGGTATCGCGGTACCCACGAGTTTTACAGGTACTCGCCGAGCGAGACTCCGCCCACGAAAATCTTCAGCTTCAGCTGGATCACCGTAGACGTAAGTGGCGATTCGTTGGCTGGACGCTTGGAGCGGGCCTCCGTGTGAGCGCGCGTTTGTGCGTGTTTGTGTCTGTGCGCAGCCGCTCAACTCGAACGAGAGCCAGGTGACCATACGAGACGTGGACTTTCCCCTGAGTGGTAACTTCAGCTGCGAGGTGACGACCGACGCGCCCAACTTCAGCACTGCCAGCAGCTCCGGAGTGCTCAGCGTCGTCTGTGAGTATCGCGCGAGCGGCCGCACGACCGACGAGCGATCGTGCACGCCCCGGCGTTGCCTTTCGCATTTCTTCTTTCCAGCTGTACCCAAGGCCAAGCCCGTGATCGTGTCGGAGCGCGGACGCTACGAGCCCGGGGATACTCTCCGAGCTAACTGCAGCGCACCAGCCTCTCAGCCCCCGGCGCGGCTGTCTTTCACGCTCAACGACCGGCAGGTTGGTCTCTCCAGCCAGCCCCCCGTTCCCCGCCGTCCGTCCGAGCGCGTCGAAGCTCGCGGGGAAAGGCCGACGTCACGGCCAATCAGCGGTCCAGCCAACGACTGCTCGCCGTCGACTGCCTTGCGAGCGGGCTGCGCGGCTCGACGAGGCGAGCGGAAGCGAACCTACGAGGAAGGGAGGGCTCGACTCGCGCAAGCCCGCCGATCTGAGTTCGCGTCGCGGCGGCTCCCGATCGTATCTCGACGCGTTTAGCGCTCGTTCTTCTTGCCGGCCCGAGAGCCAAGTGAGCGCGCCGTAACGGTCAACTGCGCGGCATCGCATCAAATTTAATGCTCCGAGCTCCGGCCGATCGTAACGCCAAGCGAATAATCCGCACACTTTACGCGCCGCTAAGCCCGATCTGCGCGGGCCCGCGTGCTCCGCGCCAACGGCAATTATTACTCGCCGCACTGCAGTCGCGAGAGTGGCTATAGGATCGTTGGCTCTTTCTCTTCTCCGATCGTGGTTATCTCGCCTCTCTGCCCCCCCCCCCGCCCCCTTGCCGAAAGCCTCGAGCGCCCGGGGGAGTGCGCGGCGGCGGATTTCGTCGCGGCCGTGTGCCAAGCGACGGCTGCGAGTGCTGGCGAGCTTGCAGGTGGGCGAAACGAAACGGCAGACCGACGGCGTCGGGCCGGCGACGGAGCCGAACGAGCAGCGGACGGAGCTAAAGCTTCATCTGCAGCCGTTCCACTACATCAACGGCCAGCTGAATCTGCGCTGCACCGCCAAGATCGAGGGCATCTACGAGCAGTCGAGCGAGCTGCAGCTCAGCGGAAATTTGCGCGAGCCGGTGCCAGAGAGAGGTAAACATCCGGATAGACGATATTGCGATTCGAGCACGCGTGCGCTTACTGACACTATATGACGTGCCGGCTTATGTAGACGCACGAAACAATTTCGTGGCCACGATGTTCGTGGCATCTTTAGCCGTGCCATACCTTCCGATTTATTTGCGACGCAAGCTCGTGTCCTCGTCCAGGTCGAACGAGTCTACACTATAACGGATTTCATCGAGAAATGTGTTCGCTGATTCGACTGACGTTCTTACCTCGTTTCTCCTGTGCACAATTAACGTGTTTTTCGCTTGTTATCATTTGCAATCGCAGTCGAAAGCTCAACAAGACGAGTACGACAGTTGGTCGAGACATCGTCAGGAAGTCGCGAGCACACGCGTACGCGAAAACCAATAGTGAGCGCGAACTGAGCTGCTCGAAATTTCATTTGCTCGATTCTCAACGGTAATTTTTACGGCATAAAGCAGTCCAACAAAAGGCTTATGCGCAGGTGTACACTTGCACCGTCTTACTCCACGGCTTTCTGTCCGTCTTTCTCTCCCCCCCCCCTCTCTCTCTCTCTCTCTCTCTCTGCCTGTCTCTTTGTTGCAGTGAGATCCGAGAACGCCAGCAAGCAGTGCCACCGGAGAGCCAATTTGATGGTTGCCCTACTCATTGCTATGCAGCTGCATTTCAGATAGCGTGACGGTCGAACGAAAACCAGCTATGAGCTGCGGGGCTCACAGTCACTGGCCTAAGGCAATTGCCAGCTCACAAGGACAACTCAGTTCACCGTACAACTTGCATTCGTATTCAAATTAATAGCCATAATGATAACCCGGCTTTAGCTGTCACGCTTGTAGCGTTATCCGCGTCGATGCGACGCTATACGCTCTCGCCAACAGAAACATCCATTCTGAGTCAACTATGTCCTTTTTTAATTGTCAACGATTACAATTTGTCGCAAAATACTATGTATAGTTTGTACGAACATTTTCATTTTTTTTAATGTAACAATTAGTTTGAGAGCTTGACACGAACGACTCCAGGGTGACAGCTAACAGATAATAATAGAAATAATAACAACAACAACAAAAACAACAATAATAATAATAATAGTAATAATCATTGCTAACAATAATCATAACAATCGCGTAAATAGAATGCGGCACACATACACGCGCGTCGACAAAAGCCCTCACTAATGTATAGTTATTAGTATGAATAGGCATAGATACATGTAGGCTTTTATCGTACTGAATTTCATCCTCATCGTGAAAATTCATTGATCTAAAATAAACCCCATAATAATATCAATTATAATGAGAATTCAAATACAACTACTTCGATTGGTTTAATTATAAAACCCTAAATAAAATGAAAGAGTGAGAGAGAGAGAGAGAAGTTCTATGCTTACAGTCGATATCTGTAATCGTGCAGCTAGTTATGCGTCGAACAGTGGACTGTAATGAATAGTCGAAATAAGCCATCGGAATTGTCACTTTTATATACTTTTGCTATGAAATTATTTTTTGATTTTCTAATTAATTATTTACCACGATGATGATACAAGTACAGCTCTCAAAGTTTGGCGATAGCCATATTTTGAAATCTCTTTTCAAAACTCACCCTTAGCACTTCTCCATTCCATGACCCAACGAGATTTGTACATGTAGTGCAAACATTTGATCAAGTCTAACTAAATCCGTATCAGAATAACATGCGGCTTAGAAGATATAATTATAAACTAAGACTTATCCGATGGTTACAAATAAGAAATACACACTGCCTCGTTTATAAGTTAAGTGCCAAATTGAAACATAAAATGCCAACCAAAAACGACGTCATGAACATCCTATTTTTCATTCTGTTTTTATGCTCGCTACACGATCGAAATAAACTGAACGCGGCATTAAAATTGTATGAACGCTTGTGACGACGAACTTTTGCTCTCTCCGAAAATCTTATAATTATACGTAAGCATGTTCACGGCTCACGGAGCCTCATTTTCAAATCTGTCAAGTATGGCAGAACAAATCAAGATGTTATCAAAATAAATAATTCTTTCTTTTTCTCCAGTAGAAGTCATAAAATAAGATTTTGCATTAAATAGAAATATATTTGAATATAAAACCATTGTTTTAACTTTTTTGCAAAGAAATAGATTATCCATTTGGTGAGATTCCAAATTGTATTGATAGATAGAATAGATATTGATTTTATTGTCGTTCATTTCTAGTAAAAAATTCAAAAAAATAGACCAACGCATGATTTAAGTATTGTTTAATGTATAATATTCTTGCATCATTAACAGATACATGTATTTTAAAAAATGATACCTATTTCTCTGTCATCAAAATTGGAAAGAAAGTTTTTTTTTTCTATTTTCTATCGTTCTCTGATATCAGAAAAAATGAAGAGTAAACATCAATATTGTCCATACTTATTATTGGCCATCATAATTATATGAATATAATATCGGTCAGATGTACATGGTCTTCGTGTATCATGTTATCGGATATCAATAATATGAGATTATTTTGACCTTAATTAATAGATTAATTATTTTTCATGTGCTTTATTGTGGATAACGTTAATGTGTAACACGTATGTAAAAGAGTAGTACAACAATTTGTTGTTCTATGACTGCTGTAATATATATGTATATAGCTATATACGTGTGTGTGCGTGTTCGCATGGGTTTACTTCTCAGGCATTGTTGAACAGTGCCTGAATAATGTCAACAATAAATAAAATACGAGTTATTCACTAAAATAACATTTATTAAAACAAATTAAGCATAATCTCCTTACTTTACATACACGCGCGCGCGCCATTATTTTTTTACTTCTCAACGATCGACGGCTAAACATATAGCATATTTTTTGGAATTTTTTTTCTTGGTGTATTTTCAACAAATTATCTGTGGTTTAAATCGGCACTTACAAATTTTTTCGATGATACGATGATTGATGATATAAGTAAGTGCGTGCTTATTTATTTCCATTTTACACCGTGAGGGATCGCAGTATAGTTTGTGGACGTAAGAGACCGCAAAGAGACTCTCAACCACCTAGATAACTAGTATGTTTATGTTCCATTTTGACATGCGGCGTGGCATTCATGGCAATGAGCGGGTGTCAAACATTTTCAAATTTTCAATGAGACAGATACTTCAAGCGATAGTTTTACATTTCTATCAAGGACTCTAAATATAACTCAGACCTATATCACATATAGGAACGTTTAAGAAGTACATGATGGTGATAACATCAATAATATTTTATCAATTAAAAGCAAATAATTGTTTGAATATATAACTCGGCAGACCGAATATCGGACAAGTGAAGTGACAACGTGTATAGTTCAACGTAACCACAACAACGCAACGTCGAATTCAAAACACTGTGCATATATGTAAATGTATGATTGTATGCACATGTTCGTTTATACAGTATTGAACTATTGTACATGTATATTAGACTAATCATGTTTACACGTAGTAATTAATTAAAAATCGTTCCCCGTGCCCTGTGCAGCGTACTTTTAGTGGTCATCTGGCCTAATATTTTATGAAAACTTTATTACTCTATCAAAATATAATGCATTTTTCGATCTTATATTGATCATCAATCAATTTCTTCCGTAGATTATTTAACTCTGAAACAAATATTTGTTTTTATAACCTTAAAAATTTGCCAAGTCAAACTCGTAAATAACAAAAATCATGTGGTTAGAAATTATCTCATTTTCATTTTTATTCATATTATTTCTTTGTAATTACTGTGTAATTATATATTTAAATCTTGTGGTGCAGATAAACAAGCGCATTGAGAATGAGTGAATCGGATGATACTGACATTTTATTATTGATACCACCAGATTTGTTCCATGTTCCATCATCAGACTCTGAAGACCATTCAGACTGTGGCCCCACGGTACAAAGAAGAAGTGGAGTTGTTTCTGAACTCATTGATCACATGCAGACATTAGAATCTAGGATTTCAGTAATTGAATCAAAAGATAGTCCTAGCAATACTCTGAACCTTAATCATTGGCTTTCTTTGGACTCTATTACGAGTTGCAAACAAACAATGCCAAGGACTAAATTTTCTGTAAGTCGACAATCTACTTTACAGAGTACCCCTACTAAAGTTCCTCAATGTTCTTCACTATCATCAACTCCTAACATTCATCAAAAATCAAATCATATCAATGAAAAGCATCATCACCTAAACTCAAATGGAAAATCTCAAAGTCGTAAAAGAGATCCCAGCTTTGTAAATAAGTGTGATCATTCAAAATCATTTCCAGAGCTTCTTCATACACAACATGATTTACAAATTAAAAGTACCTTGCATGCTGGTATTGGGTCCCCTAAAAAAGATTCATGCTTACTACTTTCGCCTATATCGAATATTTGTGATAATAATTCCTCTCACACAAACAAATCTCTATCAACAAGTCTTTGTGGTTTAGATCATAAATCCACCAATGATATGAATTTAACTGAGGTGAATAAACTTTTGAAGAAGATACAAAGTAATGATAACAACAAAATAACTAATGATCACAACTCTAATGGATATTCAATACAAATTGATACAGGTACAATTGATAAAACAAACATTTGTGAAATGACAAGTAACAATGAGAGGACAAGTGATAAAATGGAGCAAGAACAAAAAATCATGTCAAACAACCATTCTACTTTACATGAGTCTATGTACTCATTAAATTGTGGAAAACAAAGAGACCGTATTGATTGTTCACTGTTGGATAGTAGTTTTTCTTCTTTTGATACTGAAAGATTTATGACCGAATTCAAAACGTGGAATCCTAGTTTGTCACAAGACACAGATTGTAGTAAAAGTACCAAGATTGATTTAAAAAGCTTTCAAGATGATGAAAATGTGGTTATTAAAAAACACAAAGAAATGAGTGATCAAATGGTTAATAAAATTCAGAGAAATAATTTTCCTACAGCCATGGATAGACATTCTGAAGAGAGTAAAAAGGAAAACAATGATCAATACATTAATACTAACTTTCATGCAATGCATTTTGATACATTAAACACATCTCACATGCTTTCCATGTCAGGCAGTAAAAGTTGCCCAAACATTTTAAAAACTCAATGTAATTTTACTCCCTCAGAATCATTAGTTAATACAACTGAACTGGCAAGTGCCATTATTGATGATGGTAAATGTTTACCAAAAAATTCTACTAGTGATATAAATGATAATGATTCAAGCAATAAGAGATGTCAACGTTTACTCACTTTATCGGACATCTGGAATCAAGACTCTTGTAAACCAGAAGCAGAATTATTACACTTAAAGTTAGAAGAAGAAAAATTTCGAAGACAGGTGAAATTAAAGTGTTATCTTCATTCATTTGTATAAACATCAGTTATTTCATCATTTATTCATAAACAACTTATTTTCATTTCAGCATTGTGAACAATTAATTCAAGAATTACAAAAAACACTATTAGAACAACAAGAAAAGATTGCTGTTGCTATTAAAGTGGACAATGAAAAAAATTCTTTCATCTCGCAATTTCAAGTATCTTGGAAAAAAATGAAACATAAGTTACATGAATTAGAGATCGAACGTGAAAATTTTCAAAAAATATTGAAGGGTGTATCAGAAAAACACAAATCAGAAATAGGCATATATCAGAAGCAACTTGAAAAGTATAAAGAAGAATTATCGAAAGCTATCAATTTAGCCACTGGTTACAAAGACAAGAGTGATGCTTTCATTGAAGAGAAAGTTGAACTCTTAAAAAACCACGCCGGTGAATTACAAAACTATCAATCTCTTTTGCAGCAGTCAGAGAAGAGATATGAAGAGATGGAAACTGAATGCCAAAAATTAGTGGAAAAAAATAAAAAACTGGATGAAACATTGAAAGGTGTTCAACAAGACCTTAACACAGAATTAATGAAAAGTAGTGAAGTTAGAGACGAGTTATCTGTTATTCATAAAGCACTAGACGCTTGTGAAACCGAATTAGTCATTTTACGTCAAGAAAAAGAAAATTTACAAATCATGTTGAAAGAAGAAAATAGTAGAAATAATATTCTTGAAAAAGGAAATCATTCACTCATGACAGCTGTTGACGACGCCAAAAAAGCTGAGGTACTGTCGAAAGTTTTTTCTTTGTAAAAATAGAAAATCGTTAATAAAAAAAAGAGTAAAGTTTGAAGATTTATTTCGAGGATATGTGTCATCGAAACGAGGGTAAATCGAGAAAACAATCGACTTTATTCCTGAGATTTTTTATTCTCTACAAAGCTGTAGCATTTTTAAATATATTGGTAATTTTAAATTAGTAGAAAAATTATTAAGTCGGATTTTCTAAAGCTTTCTTGAAACAGATTCTTGTGAACATTTTTTTCGAATTGTTTCATTTTCCAGTCCAAACGACTTTCTAAAATGGTAATTGCTCCATACTGAAATAATAAAATATTTCGTAGCTTGCAAGTGACCGCGCCACGTTTATACTGCATCAATTATGTAGCCAATCAATTAATTTCAGTTTTAGCCACGAATAAAGAATAACGTATTTTTGAAAAATTCTGTGATATTTTTACCCAAAATGAACTTTTCTTTACCTATCAGTCTGGCAAAATTATTTGGCTAATTTCATTTGCTTATTTATAAACTAATTTTACACTTCTACATTTTAGACCATACCCCTTGTTTCACTATATAGTATTAATTTTCTTTGATATGATTCAGAAATATGCAAATAATGAACTGAAATCTCTTGCTGACCAGCAAGAAAAATTAAAAGCTGAACTTCGAGATGTTTACCAGAAACAAGTGGATGAAGTTGTGAAAACAAAGCTTCATGAATTTCAAACTCAGTTGGATTCAGCCGAAGCTATTTTCCAAAATGAAGTAGAAACAAAGCAGAGAGCAATAGCTGAATGTGCTGCACGTAAAATAAAAAGTGTTATGGATAAGTAAGTTAATGGCTCAGAATTGATCACTATTCTAGATCTACATTAAATCATCATTATATATTGAAATAATCGTACGAACAAGATTGAGAGTTCAAATTTTGCTAATTTTAGGCATCAATTGGAAATACATTTAGTCGAGGAAAAGCATAAAGAAGAAAAAAGATTGATTGAAATAAAAATGGCTCAAGCAGTTCAAAAATCTGCAATTTTAGAGGCGCAGCTGAATAGTTACAGAAAAAGTAAAAGTCAGTTAGTAGAGCAACTTTACTCGATGTTGCAAAAGCAGTGGCAACAGGCTCTCGTTATAATTTCAGGTAATTTTACGAGAACGCAACTTCAAAAGATTTGACAAAATAAAGTTTTGCTAATTAAAGTGCCATATTTCAGGAGGTAACAGCGAAAGTATGACATCTTTCCAAAAACTTGATATAGACAAATTATTCGATTTTCCACACGAAGAGAATTTCGAATTAATTCCTGAACACTACAGTACGCAACGTAGTGATCCGACAAGGTTAGGTGAGCAAAAAAGTATTAACGTGAAATCTTTGCAAGCGCAAGGAGTTCAAAATGAAAGTTTAATTGCATTGACTTCGAACGACGATAATCCTTTGAATGGTAGAAAGGAATCAGACAGATCAAAAAGCGATCTTAAAAAGTACATTCAATTGGCATGTATCTGTTTTGTTATTTTATAAAACAATAACCACGTAAAGCTACTCATTGATTATACTAAAGATTTCTCCTCTAATCTATATAATCGTAGATTTTGGATATACAACAAAAAGATAACATTCGAAAATTGAACATTCCAAGTGAAAATGCACCGTCTTCTCAACAAGAAGTGTCTTGCAAACCATCGTCGATGTCTAATAATTGTAACACGGGAAATGAAGGAAACTCAAAATGGGAACCTATTTCAGAGGTTTTATGATGTTTTATATTACTCGACATAAACCATAAATAACGATACGATTAGTGATTGTGTGTTTTTAATTTCAGATATCTATTCATGATACGAGTGAATATTTGAGTCCGCCGCAGAAATTTACTTTCAAAAGTGATCAGATCAAACCTCCATGGAAATGATATCGTATGAAAAATGATGCTGAAGAGAGACATGGAATTGACGAAGTTGACTGCGCAAAGTAACAAATATAGGTGTAAAAAAATAAGTTTTTAATGATGATAACTATTTTTTAACAAATATCGTATTTATTGTAGAAAATAAAATCATAATATTCATGAAACATGTTATTCTGATATTAGTTTTAAGTACTCATTAGGTCGCTTGGATCCCTCTTATCAGAATAACAGAGGAAAAGGAAACGAGATATGTTTATATAAATATCAAGACGAAGCGCCGCTGAAAAGACCTCGAATGTGGAAAGGCGTCGGAGGCGGGGGCAGGGAGGGGCAGAGACAGCTCAGTATAGAACGCAGATCATCGGAGAGGAGGGCAGAAGGGTCGCGGATACGCATAAGTACTTGTGGCTATAAACGGAACGGAAACGAGTTGGTAAACGAGAAGGAAAGTGGAGAAGGTGCTTGGGCGAGAGGAGCGAGAATGCAGAGCGGGCGCGCGCGCGATACATATCGGGCAGGAAAGGAAGCGGATGGCGCGTTGTGTTCGACGACTGGTGACGCGTTGACCGCGGCCGGTCCGATGGACAGTCGCGGTCGGCGGACGCTGCGCTCAACATGCACCGCGAAGCTCGTTGGGGAGCATTGAGTTTTACAGCCCTGCTGTTCGGACTAGCAACTTCGTCGGGCGCGCCGAGCACCGGCGACGGCTCGTGGAGGAGCCGCGCGGGGGTCGAGGACAGAACCCGCTGCCCCAGAGTCAAAGCCATTCGCAATTTGGACATCGGTCAGGTATCGGCCGACTGGAGATGGTCTCCTCGTGGATTTTGCACGTGGATCGACTCTACACGATTGATCGTTGCAGTTGCTCGGCGCTTGGTACGTGGTGCAGTACTACGCGAGCTCCGAGGAGGCCCTCTCGTACCAATGCATGCGCGCCGAGCTATCCGTGCAGCCGGACAACGCCGAGGTGACCATGAACTTCACCTATAGCTTCGTGGATGACCCGATGAACGAGCAGCTCTTTGGAAACATCACCTGGAAAATACCCGAGGCCGAGGCGCCCGCACACTGGCTGCATGCCGAAGTACCCTGTGAGTGCGCCCGGACCGCAGCAATCTGTTCTATTGCCCGAACTAGCTTCTGACAATATTATCATGAACCGCAGATGAGGGCATTTACAACACCTACGTATTGGACTCTGACTACAAGTCTTGGGCGTTGCTCATGCACTGCGCCGAGAAGGCCAAGAGTCCCCGCTACCTCTCCAGTCTGATCATGAGCCGGCAGCCGAGTCTACCGAATAACGTCGTCAACTATCTACGGGAGAAACTTCCGAGGCAAGTAGTCAGCAGGCGGGCAAATGGACTCCCGTCCCTTTACTTATCATCACCTCGATTCTCTCGTTCTCAGATACGGTATTGATCTCGAATACATGTTCCCGATGCATCAGACTGATTGCCAGACCTTGGATCCTTTTGTCGCGAAGCCTACAGCTAGTCCAATCGATAATCGGGATCATCGCTTTCAGCGGCGGCATCCTCTCAAAAGAAAACACAAGAGGACTCAGCAGCAGATCTGAAAATTTCCTCGATAACCGCTATAAGCGAGTTGTCATCAATGTCGAGGTACAAAAACAAAGGCACGCATATAGCAAGCGATCTTGTTGTGTCATTTGGGCTAGTTTTATTTATTTAATTAACAACGTCTGTATAATACTCTTCGTTTGTTTTTTTCTCTCAATTACAATCACACCATCATAATGAATTGTTATTGTTTTTCTTTGTTAGACCCGTCGTCATTACGTACGTTATCATAATAATTATTCGTATTCTCTCTCTCTCTCTCTCTCTCTCTCTCTCTCACACGCAGATACTCGCTCTCGACAAAATAAACGGTGTCGTTGCACACTCTCGATTTTAAGTATATTCGTCACTCTGCTACGTTTCCATCGACTCCTCGACTTCGTCATATCATACAATACAATGTCGATTTAAGATTTGCCCCGTCTATGTATATCTCGCTATAATGCACGCACGCTCATCATTCCCCTTCTTTCACCGGGTATGGCAGCTACAACTTATCAGAAAAATATTATAAAATCACTCAGCGATTGCTAAATTGTCATCATTATGCGGGAAAGGCTCGCCACATAATTATTCTTACATACAATTATTTAGCACACCGACGGGTTGTCAACGCGTACACTCTATCCGATTACTCTAATCGTTCAACGATTTACAAACTTCCTATGCATTATACGTAATTAATACTAATGCATCATTATTGAAATTACTATTATGCAAACGCTCACGTATGATATTTGATTTTCTTTAACTAAACAACTGCTTTCACCCGGTCCATCAAAAATGTCAATCGTCACCTTTTTAAACTCCGACGTAGAGTTGGTTTTTTATAAATTTTTAATAAATTCAACATATAATACCGTTGATTCTTCCATTGATACTTCAAATTGGAGCTATAATAATCAATTTATTTGCAATGGAAAAAGAAAACAGGCAGGGGATTGCGATTGATTCCAATTATAATTCTCTAGAACTTATACTGGAATAACCACAGTTGTGAAGAAATACGACGTATTGGTAAGCTGATGATTGGAAACAATCATTATGTAAATGCTGCTCGTAATTTAAATATTTTGATAACACAAAGTTTTTGCTTGGGCACAGTGAAAAATAACCTTTCATTTCAAGGGCTTTTGTTGCTTATTCAACGTTGTGAAATTATATTACCGGTAAAGTTATTGCATTGAAAAGAGAAGTAAGTCGGTTCACAAGATACGGCATCTTCTGTATCACAAGTATGTATGCGTGCTTTTATGCGAGCCGTGCTGCGTGTGGTCTCGGACTCAACATCAACATTGTCATAAGATTATTGTGCCGGAACATTTACGAAATAAGCATTTTTGCCAAGCTTCCTCAATTGAGCACAATTTCCCGAGGTAAAGCGTAGATGGCAATGTCTACATGCTCAAATTTCACCCTGCTCGTTACAAATCAATTTGTTATCGTTTTGCTCGTCGCTTGTTCCTTCTTCTTTTTCATTTTCTGATTCTAATATTTCCTACAATCGAATAGTTTTAAGCATACTCATGCATTGGATTGTTAAAAATAAAAATTGTGGTTCTACAGTTAGTTTCTAAAGTTTTATCATAATTTCACTACAGGGAATAAACTTGTCAAGCAATGCATATTCCCTAATATTTTTTAGTCAGCACGCCTCAATTCAAAATATTCAGTAGGTGTGCGTTTGTATTTGTTGTCGCAATATCTTGGTTGTGAACAAATTTGTGGTTGATATTGATTTTAATGATATTAGAACATCATTAAAATTGATAAATAGAAATAATGAATTAATGGAAATATCTCCAATACTCTTAAATCAACTGGATTTATTTATACGTATTTATAAAAAAATAATAGCAAAAAGTAATGTCGGCTAAAGCTTGACCAACCGGTTTTGCGCTGCTTAATTACTATGACAAGCACATTCTCAATGAAATTATTTATAAATGCAGACTCGAAGAATAATAAACATAATAAACGGAAAGCTTCAGTAGTCGGATACAGTTAAGTACAAAAATTTGCAATGTGGAAATCGATGTAGTGATAACAATCCGTTTGACTTGAAAGAAAGATCGACGCCACGATAACGGATCGTATCAATATTTGTGGATACAATAATTGATCGGAATTGAAATGTGCCGCGTAAGTCATTGGTTAATCGTGTGGAAGTGCTACGAAAAATGCATCTTTAAATAGATAACGCTTCTACTTTCCTAAAATTACAGAGTATTTGCGACGGTCGCTTAGTTAATCGGATTCAATCAGCGGCTATCAGATGCTTTGTTTTTATTGCAATAAAATCTGCACTCCTCGTAATGAGAAGGCTGCATTAAAAGTAGATTATAGTTGAGGAAAGGATCGCGGAACAGTGGTAATTTTCCAGCCATTTGGTTTTAAAGATCCGCTCCGATGATGCGCTAGAATGCGATTAGCTTTGCGTTGGTCGAAGGGAATCAAATTGAAGAAGCTATCGATCCCAACGTAAGAGCGCGTAGCGTGCGAATTCTTTATTTGGTTTGACGACAAGGAAGAACTGTTTGTCGGTGTATGTGCGATAACGATGATGACGATGAGAATAGTAATGACGAACGCGTCAAGTTGTGCAGATTGTTGTCTATTATTAAGGGCTTCCGTCGAAAACGCGGAAAAAGAGCTCGAAGAATTATATTTATTCTTCTCTAATATGTATTATGAGAACGATTTCTTTCGGTTAATCGTAGTAAATGCCAAATCGAAAATACTAATCACAAGGTTTGTTGGCTTTGCACATACACTCCTAATGTTCTATCGTTGAGTATGTATAATATAATATATTACTATACGTAAGTATATGAACACGCAGCCCCATTCGTTCACAGCATTCACAATCGTCAATGCCAGATGTGGCAATAATATTTATATTTGATTGGTCTAGAGTAATCTATATATATATGTATATATATATATATATGTACGTATGTATGTATGTATATGTATATGTATATATGAATTTACACATACAAATACGTATTCATATACACATCGCTATGTCAATTGCTCTTATTACATTACTCACTAACTCTTGATTTTGACGCCTGAAATTGATCTACTATCGTGTCTAGGTTAATCTGCTCCATTCGCCATCATGCACGTTTAACTTAAGATAATTGGTTGTTGATTTTAGTGACTATTTGCCCTTCGAAGATCCATTGCAATCCGCCGAGTAGACCGCGGCACAAGTCGGGGACGTTCGCTGTCAGTACACCCACGACACCGGCACCCACTGGGGCGTCGTGTGTAGTCGCTCGATGGCGTCCTCCAGCTGAGCGATCGTCTCGTCGATGTCGTTATTGACGATGGTCAAGTCGAAAAAGTGACCGTAAGCCTGCCTCAGCATGTCCGACTCCTTGGCCAGGCGCTCCAGGCTGCCGTCGTACTGCAATCCCAATCGCATTGCCAGTCTGGCGCTTCCGCCGAGCGGACGCGGAGCCGAGGTCGGCTCGGGCTCTACTTACGTCGGCGAGATTTTGCAGAGCCGGGGCCGCTATGAAGACCACGTACGGCGCGAACTCGGCCGTGCGCAGTACTTTCAGGGAGTGCGGCTCGATGTCGAGGATGGCTAGCCTGCCCTCTTCCAGGATTTTCCGGATCGTCTCTATCTTCGTCCCGTACATCGCGTCCTCGTGCGTGCCTGCCGAACGAACAGCGCCATTAATAGACCGGCGAACGGCCCCTGGTCCGGAGACTAGCTCCGCTCGGTGACACCTACCGTACTCGAGGTATTCGTTCGCGGCAATGTCTGCCATCATCTCCTCGTGCGACACGAAGTAATAATTGCGCCCGTTCTCCTCGTCGTTACGCGGAGGTCTCGTTGTGTCTGAAAGTATCGAGAGAATTATTGAGTTATCGGCCGAACCAAGGCAGTTCAAATTGCAAGTCTGAAATGTGTTGTCGTCTTACGCGGAATGGGATACGCATATTTGTCGGGATGCTTAGCGATAATCGTATTCTTTATGTGTCTTCGCCCAACGCCGTGTGCTCCGAGTAATACTAAAGTTTTACGCTGAAAGGCAGAGTCTGCACAAGAACACACACACACGTGCATATTATAGTTTCGATGTTTAGAGTTCCTTAGAGCTTTGATTAGACTTACAAGGGAGCTTCACCACTTCTTCGTACGTCACTAAGTCTAATTGATCGAAGACTGCGTTGTGCTTTGCTAAATATTTATCCTTGTATTGCTTCTTTTTGCGGCCGAATATTGAACAGTTCACTGGAAAGAAAAAGAAAATTAAAAGCTTGCATGAGCGTGTGGGCTAAGCTCGCGTCGGTACTCTGCAGTCTGCTATCAACGGCTGCCACTTTCGATCGTTCCCCGCTTACTATATCCGTCGAATATTTCGCATCGAGCCCAACTAAACCTTCCGTCGCTTTCCCCGCGCACGCGTCCAACCAACGTATGTACGATGTCCAAGAGGCCACATGGTAAAGCAAATCGCAAATCGCTTACGCTGCTTAGCTTTTCTCTCGAAACCTAGGCTCTATAATGAATTAACTACGACTACGTAATGCCACTCGGGTAAAATGTTGAGAGCGATGCTAATACATCACCATCTTCTCTTCGCCATCGGCTTCACATGTCACTTCAAATGCATTCGGGCACGTGAAATCACTGAAGTTAGTATCAACCTAAAAGAATAAATGAAATTCAAGATACGCGTGCGTGCACGTGTACACGCACGCGCGCGCGTCACGTACGCATCACATACATTTTTTTGATACGCACAAACGACATCGCCCGAAAAGGTAGATTCGCGAAATATACGTCGAGAATACGAATACGCCGAACATATTACGGCGCACTAAATTCGTTTCATCGTTCAAACGAAAGCATCTAAATTGCCATTAATCTATGTAACGAGTAGAATAAATAAACTATCAAAATATTGGCAAATAATTGCATGCTTGATTCAAAACCATTATATATTCAGCTTCAAATACATTACCATACTTTCAGAGTCCTACATTCAAGAATCTTTCCAAAGTACTTTTGAAATTGCGAAAAAATTTTTCAAGACAAAAATTATGTACTTAAGTACTTACACGTACAGCCAACTAACTATCCATTGTTTCTATTTTTCTACTTGTTAAATAAATTCAAAAAGTCAATTTACCGAGTATTATAAAAATATATTGTGAAGAAAGAAGCCTTTACGTGCGAATTACAAAAAATTTTATTGCCGGCAATAAATGTAACAAAAGGGTCGAGATCTCGATTGTTAGGTCAGAGTAAATCAAATCTCTAATAGAGGCATATTATTCTAATCGCTAGTGAAAGAATTATTCGATAAAACATCTAAGAATGTTTATGACGTTCCAGCAGCTCACAACGTGCAGTTTGGTGTCAAGTTTGAATGGTGAAAATGTGCCACTTTGCTAATTGATGTAACTTTTATGAGTACTCAATAGCTATTAACATGCATGCATAGAGCGGACCATAATTCGCAACTTGGTCTAGTCGAAATATGAGATTTATGCAAAATATAGCACTAATTCAGGCATGTTTTTCTTTTCTAAATGTGTGTAACTCGAAATGTGCGAGCAGCCTGCTGAAGAATAAACTGCAGTAAAGAAAATGAAAAGAATTGTATTTAGAAAAGAGACTTGATGCTGCCGTAAGACAGATCGCTATCAAATGCATGCTTCTACTGATACGTAGCTCAAGGATCTGGTTTACGGGATGTGACGTAGGATAAAGATTGCATGAGCGCCTTGTCAGCCTACGCTGGTGACTAAGCAGCTCATTAAATGCTCCATTGAAAGTCGTTGAGCTTGCCGAAAAATCAATGGCTAAAGTAGTCTATTGGAAGTTTCGAACAAGGAATCAGATTCTCAATGTGTGATCAAGTTTTCTGTTGTCATGCTAATCAGTATTAATCTAACGGAGTAGTGGAAATAATTGTTCTACGTGAATTTAAAAATGTTAACAGCTGCAGGCAGAAATGACATCGTACCTGTCGAGCCGTCACATCCTTCAGCATGAGATGAGCATCCTCCGTGTCCTTCAGCGTCTATAACCCGGTACAATATACAGTAATACAGAACTCGGTACAATATACGAAATTAGTAATACCTAATTCAACCTAACCATTCATAACTCTAACCGCGTTTAAAATGCCATTCAATAAAACTTCATTTTTGTTTGTGAACACGTGTCGCTTGTATTTTTTTATAGGCAATCAATTTATCAATCAATCCAACGACCGAACGCTCGACATTTCTTTAGTCGGTCAATTGATGCTACACAAGTTTTCCATTTCCAACAACTGCACAGTCACGAAATACCATACGGATTCGTCTAAAATGGCAAGAAGCATGCTCAACGAAGATAAAAATAGTACATCTATACAGCAAAAACTGATCATATGTACAACTGATATATATATATATATATATATATATATATATATATATATATATATATATATATATATATATATATATATATATATATGAAAGAAATTCCACAAAAAACTACCATAACTCGGCACCGTTTGGGAATATTTTCAAATTAGGTGTAAGCTCGAACCGTTTTTAAATAGTATTTGACAAAAATAAAATCAGACCCATCGTGACAAATACTTGTGGCACCTTTTTCTCTTATAGAAGTTCTAAAAATGATTGTAAATAGAGACGTAATTGTTGATGATTTTTTGGCATTTTATAGAAGAGAGAGATAACGTTTATCAAAGTTCAAATGCGAATCCTCTGTCAAAAAGTACAATAACATTTATTATTACAATAATATTTTATTATTTTCCATTTCAAAATTTGCCCCGTACATCAGAGCTTTTAAACCACAGCAGGACACGAAGCTCTCAAAAAATCTAATTAACACCTGTGCGGCTTGCAAGCTTTACCAATGTGAAAATTTTGATCAGAAAATGAAACAAAATGATTTTCGATGCATTGTGAACTCTAAAATCCGAATTTGAATTCAGATGTACGCCATCTTTATATATTTTATTAAATTTTAATGTCTTTAAAAAAGTCACGTATTATCCAATTATTTATGTTAGAATTTTTAGGTGACTTCAATACCTCCACGAGCGAGAAAGGGGTGTAACAAGGTAGCAACTAATGGACCTAAAGACTTTTACGTTTACAATACATCGTAAAATGTTAATATTGTCGTATAATTGAGAACGTGTCTGTAGTTTAAATATTGAAAGATATTAGCGTCATTTAGCTCACTTAGCGCATTTTCCTTTTTTGTTTTTATAATATTGATTGTATTCATTAATATATCACCAAACCCTTGGCATATTAACTTAAAAATTGTAGTATTATAAATCTTGAAAAAAAAAATGTAATATAAAAAATATTCTAACCATCGATATATATATTGGTAAATAAAAATTCCATTGGTATTCACAATTTGGCAAACATTTATAAACCTTGTAAACATTCAAAAATGTATCAAAAAATCATTCAGAAATTCTAGAACGCCTATAGTTGATTAATTTTTTGTTCTTTTTCACTCTCTTTTAATATGAATTGCAACATATCAATAGTCATTTTATTTTTACGGATATTGATATGAATGATATGAATCTGACTATTAATTTGTTGTAATAAAGTGACTAGCATTTTTTCAAAACATAACATCTCACTGTCTTGAAACGACTTACTTGCTATATATCCTCATGTTAATTAGTCTTGGAAATTATTATACACATTAATTTTTTCTCACAATTTCTACTGAAATATAAATTCTCTACTTTATACATTAAAGCCAGGAGTTTCTGCGGTCAAGGCATTTTTTTGTGGTATTACTCATATATTTATAAATGAAATATGTTAGATAAAATTGCATTCGTTTGATGTTTCACGCAGTGTACAAATGCCAAATTGGACCTAAGTATGCCCATTGCATGATGCGACACAAAATGTAAACGACATGGAGTGACAATAAATTATTAACAAATAAAGAAGGCCTTGTTAAACACTTTTGATAGATCGTATGACGTACGTTAATATATGCGATCTGCTGGAATCGATCTATGTATATATATAGATACGCACACGCACGCACGCACATACATGTATATAGTATCGTGGAGCCATTCATCGATGGTACTGAACCTCCCTTTTTCTTATTAAATAATTAATAGCAGTTGATTATTGATGTATTACCTTGCTCCTGTTTATTTTTTTCCATAGCCATGGAAGAGATCCTCCATTCTTGCAATTCAGGTGATGGTATGAGACCGGCCGAGCCTCCCGCTTGGTCTTTACGAGCTTGCCACCAGTGATGATCGTCTTTGCTAATTATTTGTAAAATATCACCAGTTCTAAATGAAATACCGGCTTGAGCACACGGTATGAGATCGTCTTCAAGTGGATCGTAGTCAAATTGTGCACGAACAAAAATCTGCAAACATAATGTCTTGACTTTTATCTGTATGCATTTACCACACTTAATTATTTTTCCCAAACAACATTTGCAAATAAAGCCACTCTAAGAATCGTATGCATACGTAGCCCCTACAATATTAGCGTGAAAAATTATTCTGGAGTATGCATCGCGCAACGCTTCTAACGCGCAGGGCTTGCATCTCACCAATGCAGTGCATCTCCGCGCCTGCGAAAGCGACATTTGTTACTTAAAAATTATTGCCCTGTTGCATTTCAGAAGCATTGTGCGAAACATCCTATTCGACCGAACGTTGTTCTATCTTTCCCAATGAATATTCACTCGCTAACTTGGCAATTATTTAATTATTCATTAGAAATCGTAACGTATTCGTGGCTTATTTATTTGCTTATTTATTTATATAAATCAACATACAAATTTTGATGAAGTGATCTAAAAGCCAGAACATACGAAATTCATGCATAATACTCGTGACGTTATGTTTAATAATAACAAATTGTATGTCGGTAAAGGATTTCTAATTCGCGGTGTACACCGCGGTTTTACGTAAAATTCATGAAAAACGAAAAGTTAAAAGTGATCAAAATAATACACAGTGGCTCACTACATGCCTTGTTCAAAACTTAACTATAGAATGCTCGATAAAAAAAAATAAATCAAATAGTTGCAGCACTGCAAGTATTGTAAATAGAACTGGAGACAGCATTTCGTGAGATGAAATAACGGTGACATGGTCTTTGTGACTAGTAAATCAAGTAAATAAAATAGTACAGTTCCCAACGGATGCGCAAAGGCTTTTTTGACGGAACGAGAAGCTTACGGCACGAAACGGAGGCGAGTGCTGTAACGAGTTTCGTCAAAAAATCTTTTCGGATCAGTTAGAGATATTGTTTTTTCGTATGAGAGCCGAAAACAAGCGCCGTAGGTGCGATTTGGAGGTTGGAATGCGGAAAAAACAAAAAAATCCTAAGAATTCGAGTACAGGATGGGAAATGTTGTCGTATTGAGAATGCTCATTTATTATTTGTTAAATTTTGATGATAGCCCAACTTGCCCATCAACTAAATGCGTGAAAACAACTTGTACAAGAAAACAATAATAAAGAGAAAACGCATAGCCTTCTAACTACAGCAGTCCAATCACACCAGATCAAGTGACGGTACTTACTAACACTGGAAGAGGCCTAATCCTGAACAACTAGAGCGTCGAAGAAACAGAAAAAAACAGAAGACCATTAATTATTTATTCAATTTTTTTCAAGGAAAGAAATTCCCCATGTTTATAAATTATGTCGGTGAACCATGTGATACGTCAACCTATCGGGTATTCATCAAAAAGTGTTAATTTGAAATCGTTGTTGCTTGTTGCGCACTCGAAAACGCATGCAAAAAGCAACGGCGATTATCGACAACAAAATTTACGTGTTCATCACTTCAATTGTCCTCTTGCTTACTATATGTAGTGCGGACTATGAATTATATTGAAGTGCTACGTACTAACATTAAAAATACTGTCTGTGCCATTTTTATGCTAATCGTTTACGTAGAAATTCTGTTTTCTACATATGAATTTTACATTGAATATACTCCATTTAATATAACAACAAGAAACATTTAATACATTTATTTTACTATTGAATGGTTATTTGATTAGTTATTAAATCATGCGTGTTGCTGCACAATAACCCATCAAGATGTGGTCAATAGGGATAGTTTCAAACCAAACAAACAAATCCTAAATTATTTGACGGACATTTTGTTTGTTGAACAAAATCGATATTGAATAGGATTTTGTTGTTATTATTAATAATGAAAAGGCAATATTGTCACGAATGAGCGTGCAATGAACAATACAATCTAACATTTTACAATTTAATACAGAAAAAGTTGATTCCCTTAGTCAACAAAATAGTGACGATTATAAAATACTCAATCGACAATATTTCTTCATGAAAAAGTTATTTGATCTTATTAGCATAACACATGGCAAATTCAACATTTAGCTTTGTAATTTATAATTTTTATATGGGTTACTCACTCTCTTGCAAGAGGTGTTACAAATTTATTCAATCTATTAAATGTTTTTTCAAATAATAAACTGATCAAGATAACAGAATAAAATGAAATATTCTTAATAGATCAATATGTGCACTATTGACAACTCGTCTGGTGGACTGACTGCTGCTCATGTCAAATGTCCTGTAGCATTTTAAGTTGTACTGAAGTAACAAATATAATGAGTATACGATGCTAATTTTATTTATTTTTTACTTTTAATTCACGTAAACACGTATTGTTACAGAGACTATAATACAGTTTCATTGTGGTAACTTTATCACGATTGGACAGAATCAGGAATAGATACACAAAACGTAACATTACCCAATCATCCCAGCTTACTGCAACAATACGAGTGAGGAAGGTCTCGGTGGGTATGGAAGTGACGTAAGGATAGAAATAGTGAAAATTAAACTGAAGAATGCAAACTATAAAAAATTACAAACAGATTAGTAGTTATTTATAACTAATATAGTCATTTATTAGAATAATTCATTCTAAAAATTTGCCCTGCTTGAATGAAAAAAATGTGTAGTACACTGCTGATATAATGGGAAGTTTGAGCCGTAGATTAACGTTATTCAAAGATTAAATACTCTTTAAATTAAAAATTAAAAGATATTTTGCATGCACAGCCAAAAGATGTGTACTAATTGTGAAACGTCACAAAATCAAGTGGTGAATATATTAAAAACACGCATTGAATAAGTCATAAAAACTTCATATGCTGTTAAGTTTAGTAACTAATAAGATACGACTATTAATATCATTGATATCAAAAGGTTAGTTAAAAGCGATACTTCATGAACAAATGCTTTTTAAGTATCTCATGATTTATTTATTCTTGTACAGTAAATCATCGCAATAATGTTACTGTAGTGTTGTTCGATTCGCGACTTAAATAATCTTTGGTGTCACTTGAAAAAAAAGTAGAGTATTGAGAACTCGGATACAAAAAACGGCTACATATCACTCAAAAGAGATCGAGCATTGCTCTTTTGTATCCAAACCCTCAATTAATTAGTTATATTTTTAACAGAAAACATACACTCATTGTTGTTCAGCTTATTCTATAATAATATTATAACACAAAATGATTTTTATCATGTGATTGAATTACTATGAATTCACTACTGTTATAAATTGAAATGAAAAAAATTTTTGTACAATTTGAAAGTTAATCGAAGTCTTGTCTTCGGTCTTTTCATAACATTGTTATCAAAGTGACTCAAATATTTGATTACAATTGCAAAACTACGCTGTAAATGTAAAAAAATCATAAAATACATCAGGTATCTTATTAGAAATAAATAACAACACTATGTATATTACCAGAGCGGCTTACAATCATGGACGATTGTAAGATAATTAATGTAATATATAAGTATCATACAATACGATAATCCATGGAACATCTACGGTCATAAATTCTCTTGTTTTCACATATTTTTTCTGCTATTGTTCTATAATCGTTAGTTTAAAATATTTTTAAATACAATAGTTAGAAAGTATTGATACCTAATTATGATTTCAAAATATATTAATTCTATATATGTGCACACACACGTATATATATATATATATATATATATATATATATATATATATATATATATATATATATATATATATATATATAGTCTAGATTTAAAAGGAAAACACCCTCTACTGCATGGAATAATTAAGTTTTTTCTTCATCTTCTGTTGTATAAAATAAAAATAAGCGAAATCAAATTTGAACGACTTAAACTTAAAAGTACCACTCTTTCTGACAAATTATTTTGTCATCCAACAACGTCAAACGATATCAATAGCTCTCATTTTTACAAAACATTTGAAAACCCCAGTTGATACATCATAACAAATACGAATAAGCAAATCAACTGTTACAACGTTAACCGGTCATGCAGACGAGGGTTCAAAAAATATAAGTAAACCAAAGTACTCAATTGCGAAATTCAATTGAAATAATGCCAATAAAACTTTTGGAATAAAGATTTTTATACATATATTGTAATAATTACATGTACCACAGCCTCTTGCGCAATCAAATCACAGACCAATACAGAGTTGTGATGGATTTTTTTATTATCAAATAATTTATTATACATACAGCATATATGAAGTTATATGCCAACGTATTTTTATTGTTTGACCGATCAAATGTATTTTTATTTCTTTTTTTGCTTAAATCGAAATAGTGAAGTCAATGCTAACTCCATTTCAGTTTCATTTATTATGAAATAACATTTAATTTGAAATGAAATACTTGATCGTTAAATAATATTATTTATTACACAGTGAAATCCTGTACGTTGAATAGTATCATCAAACTTTTTATCGAAGCTAAAGTTGAAACTGTTATCAGAAAATAAAAAAATTATTACTTTTTATGTTATATCTTTGAGAAGTAGTCCATATTTCTTATAAAAAAATATACAGTATACCCATATGAAGTATATGAAAATTAACGTTAAATTTGTATATTTGTAAAGGTATCACTAAAATTAAAACTTACGAAAAATCATTTGTAATGTCAATGATAAAAAAATTTAGAATAAGTTTGAATAATTTATTCGCGAAATTGTTCCGACACACAGGGTTTCAAAGAAATTTAAAACCAAATTAAATTTAAAAATATTTACTCATTCCCATTTTGTATATAAATAATTGTGACGTAGCAACTGATTTAAATATAACTTTTATGTAGCAATTATGATGTTCGTAATGAATATCACTGGAAAATATTGTATACTACAGTATTTCTTGTCCTTTTCTCAAATTCATCCGGATTTTGTTTGAAACGTTTAACTTAGAATTCCGATTATTTATTAATTTGATTTGATATTATTTCCGCTGTTACGTGCATGCTTTCCGATCCAGAGATATCTTTAAATAACCAACACCTCATGTTATATAATTTACTGCTATTATTGTATTCGGTTCATACCGTAAACATAAGTGCAATGTATTTCGCGAGTGAAGCATTGAATAACTTATCGTTTCTTTCACCCTTCGATAATTATAATAGTTAATCAACAGATATTTAAATAATTCGGAATACTGATACACAGTCGTACACAAACATATGTACTTGATAAAATGAAGGTTACATACTTTTAAGGTTACAAAATAAGAAAATTCACAAGTGATATTAATGTACTACGGTGCAAGAAAATACTTTATGAACATTGACATTAAGATTTTTTATATTCAGCTATAATTTTCATCTTCTCCTACAATAAGGTTACATGAGTGTAGCAAGATCACTTTTGAATGAAGGTGCTAAAAGAATGTTTGTCGATTGTAGTAGAATAATCAAATACTAATTACAGGTTTAACATAATAGCTAGTTGGAAATCTATTTTAACATACTAGTTAACTTTTACTGCATCATTATATGATCTTGTCCACGAACATAATAAATGAACAATTTATTTAGCCAAAAATTAGGTAAAATAATTCACTAAAATTAATTGCATCTATCTACATTATTTATTTTAGAACTTCGTCCAATGCCGTTGAGTAGTTGTCTACGTAAAACTCTTCACTACTTGATCAATTTTTGGATTTTCGTGAACGAAGAACAGAAAGTGGATTTAATCGGCGTCGAGGTGTATTTTCAGCAGAAGAGGAGTTACTTATTTTTAATTTTGATAACGATTTTTGAGGCTTAAAACTTTTTAAATCTTTGTTATGAGTTTGCGTTTTAACTGATTTCGCATTACACGTTGCGGTATCAGAAGTTATTGTTTTAGAAGAGGATGCAGTATCAGGTGTGATATCGACGGCAACAGAGGCTGTGTGATATTGGGAATAGGTTTGGTGTTTAGGGCTTACTTGTACCTCGCAGGGAGGCGGCGCACTCCTATATGATGGCACAATCTTGAATGTGACTGATCCGCGTGCTTCTCGCTGTAAAATATAGAGTTTATACTTTTGGCGCAGAAAAAAAAGATTTTTTTCTTAATTAGGTTCTAGAATCTTTAATGATACGAAATGATCGACGAGAGTGAATATTGTGCTCAACTAAACTATGGCCTTTGCTAATAATTCTGAAAAAGACATAATTACTACTATATACATTGCAGTTAAACTAATTAGTTATTACTATTCACTTTCATCTAAATTTTGAATTGACAATACTTCTAATATTATGTTTAAGAATATTGATAAAAATTTAAACATTCCGATTTTAGCAAAAGAATAATTTGATTCGTAATAATAAGTTTTAAAAATGAAATTAATTTGTAAGCTAAAAATGTGTTATACTTACTAGAATCTTCTGTAAGGCAGTCACTGATTGATTAGCTACGGCTATTCCATTAATTTCTCTAATTTCATCACCAACGTGCAAAGTAGCTTGCCTATGAATCATTCCTCCGTGCATTATTCTTGCAACAATACACTTTCCGTCCTCATTCATTTTCAATGTTATGCCCTGGAATGTGATTATTCGTAGTTTATTTCGCCATTACAGTTGTAGTTACTATTTCAACATTAAAACTAAATATTTATCTATAAGGCTAAGTATCGAAGCATATTAATGTAGCTACACCGAATGAAGGGAAATTTTCGCGGCTGAGCGGCTAATCGTATGAGCTTACAACAAAGCCATGAAATGGCAAGCTTGAATAATATTTTTTGGGGAATCATTGGTGACAAATTATTTTCTCAAGATGTTAGACTGTTCTGTTTAGCTATGAATATTTTATTATTATGAACATCACAATCTCTAAGTGCAATATTTTAAAATTTCAACTTTCCTTCAAGTATGCGGTACATGCCATTCAAGCTCGTTGTTGCGCAAACATCATGCACACTACTTAGCAATAGTTTATCAAGCTCATCTGATTAACCATTGGGCATTGAATCATATATCTGAATCAATATAGAGGCTATTTATATACCTATGTCAATATCTAGGTTAAAAGCCTTGAGGGCCCTTAATAAATAGTTAAAAATAATTACCATAGGCTCATCTGTGTTTTTCTGAAACTGAACCAATCGAACTCTCGTAACATTTTCCAATTCAAGGTCGCCATTTGGCCCTTCAAGATCGTCGCCTCCATTAAGGTAAGGAAATATTGGTGGCGGGGTGGCCCTTTTTGCATCTTCTCCATACACTTCTTGGCCTGTTACATCTTGTGCCTGAAGTAGAGCCTAAAATGCATAAAATTAATACATTATGAAATATAGATCAACGTATATATGCATATTTGCTGTCAATGACATCAATTACAATTTGACAGTAGTAAGTAATAAGTCAGCAGTGGTTAAAAGCTATTTCATCAGCTTTTAGCTGGTAAAAGCAATAAGGAATTTCAGACATTTGATTCCTAGTCACTAAATGAAATGCCGAAAAACAGCATTAACTATGGGTTATAAGTAGAATATTCATCTATTTGTCGGTTTAGTTAATCATTCTTTTGTCTTTCCATGTCAATTTGTAATCTTAAGCTACTTATATATTTTGCACAAACATATATTCCATATTAACTACAATTGATTAAAAGAATCTACCAAATTTTATGAAATTTAAAGTTATTCCCATTTAAAATTAATAGTATATTATTTACTGGACATATTATTGGTTTTATAGTTGTAGAACTATCTTATCGACCTCATTATAAACAAAGTTTTATGTAGAGAGAGAACGATTTTCGATTCTTATGCACGTATTACGTCATTTACCGGTATTTCGCTAAATTACTATAAGAATTAAATAAAATGATTGAAAATATTTAATAAGACATATTGAATAACGAAGTTAAACCATATAAATAAAGACAATTAATGTTATGATAGTGATAAAGTGACAAAAATAATAAAAGAATATTTATAATGGAATAGGTTTTCGTGTTTTTAATTTTCAAATGTAGTTTTAATGATTTTCCTACAATTTTCCTACAGGGCCGTGAAAAGCGTGACCATTCACCCAAAAGTGATAACTAGAATTGGCGAATGTTACTGCAAACGTGTGTATTTTTCTGTGCTAGGTCACGGAGGACCTAGAGCAGACAGAGAAAAGTTAAAGTTGTACGTAAGCTTTCATACGTTCTCGTAGACTGGGCATCAACGTATCTGCTGCAGATGCGCAGTTGTGCACAGCCTGGCCCAATTGGCTGTCGTCCAAACGACTTGGACCGACCAGTTAAATAATGGAAAAATATGGCTGAGACATCAGAAGGCAAAAAACTGAAAGCAACGCCAAGCCAACTACATAGATTTCGATTTAAAATAATGTCAGTAAATCGAAACGTTTCTGGAAATCAGTGTCTCGAGTAAACCATAACATAAATAAATTGTTTCTTTGTTAGTAGCTCGATGATAATATCCTTTATTGCAATATTTTTGTGTATATAAACGAATTATAATAATAGTGGATTATTTACATGTATAAATTAACAAATTTGTCGTCATTCGGTAGTGCGAATTTCAAAAAATTAGTTTTCACCGTACCCTCGGAGTCTATAGCATATGTGTATTTTTTAATGACGATTTTTAAATGTTTTTCTTTATTGAATTTGTTGAAAATGAAAAATTAAAAATAATCTATCAGTAACGTAAGAAAAATATCTTGGATATTTTAAAGTCTTAATAAGTGGAGTAATACAAATGAAGAAAAAGAACCTTAAAGGAGAGCTTAAGGAATATATTTTTTAGGATAATTGAATCATTTTACTTCGTTCCAATACTTAGGAGACCAAATTTCCAAATTGCAAAAAGTAATGTTTGGGTTGAAACAAACAGAACCTTTTAATATAAGAATCAAATCTAAAATCTATACAATAGTTTTAGATAGAGAAACTAATTATTACAAAAGATTAATTTCCGAAATGATTTTTATTAATATGTATAATCAGACTATAAAAAAGCAGGAAGATATATGTTTATTGATTAATCATTACAAAAGTTTAAACAACATTTTGTGTAATTGATTGCATAATTTTATGTTTTATAAGCGTTTGTGGGTCTCTTTGTCCTTGTTTTTATATAAGAGGGGATATAAGCATTTGAATTTGTTTTGATTTCCACATTAATTTTTGATTGACATTAACGTTTTCTGATTTGCAATAATTCTAGTCATTATGTTAAAAATGAAAAAAAAAAGAAAGAATTAATAATTTTCATTGATTGTCAATATGACAAGTTTGTTAAATTGAAATTGAGGTATTAACATTTTATATCAGTTTTAATGTTTAACTTATATGTATCAATGATTTTAACCATATTTTTAAGTTTTTGTTTTTATCATCTTCCAAATTGTTTTCGTTATCTGCCAAAGACGGAGTTTGAATTTTTATTATTACTCAAAGGGATTGCTCTCAGATTTGGTTTTTAATTACTCAACTGAATTCTATTATTTAAAAAGAGATAATAATTTGAAAAAACATATTTCATCGCTTTATTAAGCCTTAAATAATAGAATTTAAAAAATCTCGCGTTGGTGGAAATCTGCATCATAAGGCTAAGCCTTCCTACAACTTTAATTTTTTTAAATATAGTTTTGACTGTTGGCTGGACAGAAAATTTTCCTACTTGTTTTTTACGTATCATATTGCAGATAACTTATTCATTTTTATTACTGAGCATGCTTTTTGTATACTTTCTATATTTGTTTTAATTTAATAATTATTTTTAATTCTTGAAATTTTTAAGATCACATTTTTTACTAACATTTCGTCCGGAAACGAAGTTTACGCAATTGAATGTTCGCGCGGGACTATGTAAACTACAAAAAAACTGTTTTTTGCATTAACGAGATCTGAAGAAAGAAATGATTGTCGCTCTGCCGCTATTGTGAAATATCTATTTTCTTTTGTTCTCGATAAAATTATTGAAATGAATGAATACCTAAACAAATAAGCAACTCTCCCGTGCTTTTTTCATTTGTCATAAAAAATAAATTAACAATGAATAAATGAGAAAGAAAATTACTCAAACACAAGGACCACTCTCAGTAAAACAGAAAATACGAGCAGTAAATATTGCAAATGAAACATCAACAAAGACTGTCGGCAAGAAATTATATACGCCGATCTCTATTCAAAAGTTCGTTTGGTGATTCACTACTGAATTAATGTTGAATAAATTGCAATTAACTTTAAAAATCATGATTTATCGATGGTTAGATATTACAACAAAATAATTGCACATTCAGAATATAGATTTTAAAACAATAATAAAACAATAGGCCCTTGTTCGGAAAATGGATCAACATTTTTGCAAATCACCAGATAAACCAATAATTTTCAAGACGAAACTCAGAAGAGGTACGAGTATTCTGAGCATTCAAGAATGACATGATTAAAGTTTTCTGATGCGAACACATATTTGGTGACACTGCTGGAACTGAAGGAAAGAATGATCATTTAATCCAGAAAGAGTCGAAAGATAGTTGAATAGCGTAATATGACGAAAAGTTAACAATATTTAAAAGACTAATTGAAATCAGAGTTTTTCAACCTAACGATATAAGAGATAAGTAAATAAATGGAAAAATAATAAAATAACTGAAAGGATTTGCTCGGCGCTCCACATTCAGTAATGGGGTCAGCCAAAAGGGCTTCCTGTAAACTGTAATTATTAAAAATGGTTTTGATAGAATAGCGGGTATTCTGGTAGATTACAACTTTTGGTTAAAGAGCACGCGCGGATACGAAAAGAAGATTAGCAGTCTGTGATTTAGGAAGATAAATGTGCGCGCACACGTGTGCATTTATGCGTGTACACATGTCTGTATGTGTGTGCGCACAATAGCGTGTACTGGTAAAGTTTTCGGATTTATCGCAATGAAAGTTTCACGAGAAAATACGAGCCTCGGTGTCTTTGCGGCTTCCGATGAAGTACTATCTTTGCCGGATGTTTTTCATTATTACGCGGTATCAGCTTGAACCAGCTTTATATTTTACATAGAGTTACTGCTCAAATAGATCTACAAAGTGATTTCACATTTGGCCACGCTGTGCCGAATAACGTCAACTGTAACTGGCTTTCTAGTTAGCTTAAAATTTATTTTTCACCACTTACGAATACTTCGATCAATTGTATTGCTGAATGAATTGAATGTGATTAGAGACTGTGCAGCTATTTGTCGCTGAGGGTGGCTTGCTCACACCGACCGATGCAAATAATTCGATAATCTGCGCACTCGTGACTTTGGAGAATTTCTTGATGAAACGGATGCCGAGACATCTCTGACCAATTTATCAAAGCTACGAGTTTCGCCATTTTTCGTTACTCCAATGAGAATGTATTCGTCCTTTGATAACTCCGTTCATTAAGTTTAATTCATCTTACTTGCATAGCGCTCTTTCACGTGCAGCTTTGTTTATTCGAATGCTTCCGCAAGTAATGCCATTATCGTCGACTTGTCTTCAAGTCACAATGGATGATAATTGCATACGTAGCTGGAGCACCGACTCTTTCTTTTTCGTATTGCATAAAATAGTTTTCTTTCAGAATGAAGCTTATTCTGAATAATTCTCTATGGGAAAACTTTTGCTGGTAAAATCTTCAATGAGGGAATTTCGCATATTAGAATAAACAATAGAGTGCAAGCGTGCGAGCAGCCCAATGTCCCGAGAGCCTACCATGGAGAACGATAAGGGGTTCGTATCTAATTTCAAATTCATAAACGTCACTATCTTGATAATATATCAATATGAATGGTCTATGAGTTCGAGATATCGCATTGACAATACTATCGTTAGATTTGACACAAAAAGAGCACATATCAGTAAGGAGTAGTGCGACGAAAATGCGTTGCCTTACACGGGATAAAAGTCAGTTGAAAACAACATCCAAAAGTATCGGAAGAAAGCTTGGGTAAAGTATTTGTAGCGGCATCGTCGCAACGATTCAGGCGAGAACGAGTTGATCAGAGTTGAGAACAAAAATCGGCTGCGGTTTCAAGCTTAGTTATAAGCTTACGGGTCAAAAATTTTTATATCCAAGGCGAACGTCAGAGTTAGCTCGTGTGGTGCAGAGCCTGGGCCAAGTTTTGCTCTCATATTGTTCTCAGCCAAGACAATGTATATTCTCTTTTCCTCGGAAGCACGAGGTACCACCACAAAGGTAATCAGATTCCATATGCTTCCCATGCACTCGTGAGTTTTGATCCAGTTTATGCTTCTGCGTGCGCACAATGAGCACGTGTA